CCGCAAACACACCAACCCCCATGCCAAAAAAAAAAAAAAAAAAAAAAACATAAAAATAAATAAATAAATAAAATTTAAAAGATGAAGATGACACTTACCTATATTTTTTTAAGTTATTTTAATTGCAAGAGGCACATGTGCCCACCACAGAGTGACACATAGAAGGAAATCACCCCCCATGAGTTGTGGCTGCATTATGGTCTCTCACCTCTGGCTCTGAGCTGCGCTCTGAGTGACTTTACATTAGGGATGACCTCATCATCCTGCTCCTGCTGTCACTGCCCCGCAGTCCAGTGACCCTGGCAATGGACTCAAACCACTTCCCTAACTTGTAGGAGCGTGTGTGTGTGTCTGTGTGTGTGTGTGTGTGTGTGTGTGTGTGTGTGTTGAAGGGTCTACCAAAAATTGGTATATGGCCCTGTTGCCTCTTTGCTCTCCCTTTCAAATAAAGGGACTGGTTTATCTTTCCTTTGCTGCTTAGGCACCTGCTGGCCAGTGCACTCAGCATCTCAGCTTCTTTTTTTGTTAAATCAGCAAATATGTATTGAAGGCCTACTATGTGTCAGGCACTGTGTAGGTGCTAGGAGAACACTATCAGTCTCCTGTCAAAGACAAACGTTATCCAAAGAACCACATACAATCAAATACAATTCCTTTCAGAGCTTTTTAACCTTTTTTTTTTCATTGCCAGAGGGCGTGTGCACTTGCCAGAGAGAGACAGGGGTGGAGAGGAGAACCTGTCAATGGTACGTGGTCATCCCTTCTCCACTTCTCCACCCTGTCAGGATTCTGGGCGTGCACACATACCTGGCATGTTTTCCAAGTCACTGAGGCAGGGATTCGAACTGCTGTTGGCCATGTGGGATCTAGCTGCCTTCACCACCAGGCTATGGGGCCAGTCCTAACTTTTTATTTTGAAGTTACTTTAGACTCACATAGAAGTAGACATAGAAATACTATAGATCTCCTCTGCACCTTTTACCCAGCTTTCTCCAATGACTTCCTACACAATCGGAGTGTAATGACTAAAATCGGGAAATTTACATTGACACAATGCTATTAAATAAACTATAGCCCTTAGTAGACTGACCCTTAGCCTTCTCTAAGGAAGTGTTTTTCAATTCACTAACTAGTAAGTGGAGGGCAGCCAGTGGCGTGATGGTTAAGGCAGCTGGAGCCCACGTGACCGATTGTGCAGCTCAAGTCCTGGATCCTGTAGCTTGCAAAACATGCCAGGCATATATTTGGATGTGCCCCAAAACCCAAAAGGAGAGAAAAATGAAAGAGAAGAGATCGTTTTGTGACCATCCCCCATCGGGGGTGTTTCTCACTCTCTCTCTCTCTCTCTCTCTCTGGAAAACGCACCTGCCCTCTATTATTAAAAATATAATAATAAAAGAAGGAGAATTGTAACAAGCATCAGAAGTAAATACAACAGTCACCCCCACGTCATAGATACACAGTCTGAGGGTCAGAACTGCTCTATAACTTGCTGAAGATTCAGCTTCCATGGCTCAGCCAGAATCGCAAATCCAGATGGCTCAGCTGTAAGGAATTTGCTCCTCAACACTGTGCCCTCCTGCCTCTCTGCATCAGTCCAGCTAGTCAGAGCAGGATTTCTTGTTCCAACCCAAGGAACTCGGCTATGATTGCACCACAGTAAATGGCTAGGGAACCATTACAAGTTCTAACACGGGGATGCCATCTTTAAAGTCCACTTACTTCCAAAATCCTTTGATTTTGTGTGTTTCAGTGGTAAAGACTTCCCAAAGGAAATGATGATTTCAATCACTGCTGCTGAAACAATGTTCTTTGGGTTAACAAAGGCTGAGCTTTCAAACATTTCCCTCCGGTTAATAACTTTAGTTGAAATCTTTTGACTCTCAAAAGGAAGTTTCTTTGTAAGAAATTGCAAGAAATGCAGGTGCGGTTAAAGGCACGCCCAAAACAAAGACTTCAGAAAACACAGGGCTTCCTCTCAAAACCATGCACTGTTTCCACCTGCCTCTTTCCCACTGAGGGAGTGAAGAACATGCCACCCCAAAATACACTGCCTTGGCATTCTGAGTTCAAGGCACTTGGAAAACAGCAGGTGCAAGAAAGTCCTGTTCTGTCTCTTAAAAGCAGATGAAATTCCCATGTGAAAGATGCCTTTCCCAAACCAGAAGGAAATTAACATTCTTATCATCAAGCTCAGGAAATTGAGACTAAGAGAATTCTATATGAACCTTATTAAAATAACTCTGTTATCTTTTAACCTACCTACATAATATAGTTACTTTTTCCCAGCTTATTACTCTTTGTTGGATTCAGTATGCAAGAGTTCAACTCTGTTTCTTTGGGTCTTCGTTTTCCTTACAAAGTCTTCTATGCCACTGTATTAAATAAATTTGTTTGCTCTTCTTCTGGTGAATTTTGTTAATTTAATTTTCAGGCCTACCTAGCCAAAAAACAAAATCTTTAAAAGGATAGATGTAAAATTCTGTTTCCTCTATGCCACACAGTTGTAAGCCAAGTGAAATATATAATATATGCACAATAATCTTCTTAACATTGGAAAATAGCAATCCCAAGGGCAGAGAAATAGAAAAATAAAGATTGAACAAGGGAAGTACCTTTCTTCCTAATGGTGCATCTGTGATATCAGTACTTGCTACCAAAATGCAGAAAGTTCCTGACACAACTGCAGAGACCCACTTCTCCCTTCTCTTCTCTCCAGGCACTCCCACTTCATCGATACACCCTCTGAGGTTGAGAACAGCTCTGCTGAGCGAGCACATCCCAAAAGCCAGCTCAACTGCTACCTGGGGCATTCTCTTCTTTTTTCAGATTTTTGTCATAGGGCACATGTGCTCCTGGAGAGGGACAGATAAAGACAGAGAGAAACAGAAAGTGAGAAATCCCTCCTCCCCGGGAGTATGCTCATGCTACAATCTCTTCTCTTCCTGGGATTTTGGACACAGGCACAGATACAGCAGATGTGTTCTTCAAGCTGACAGGTCTGGAACTTGAACCACAGAGTTCAAGTGGGATCCAGTGCCTTAACCACCATGCCACATGCTGGCCCCCAAGAATTCTCTTAAAGATATTACTGCTAATGTGAATGCTATTGAACAAGTGTGCCCTTTGCCTGATGCGACAGAAGCAAATCATCTGAACACTGGATCTTAAAGCAAGAGTGTTATTACATAGCCAGTTAGCCCAGAGATGGAGGCAAACCCAAATCTGTCTCCACCCATGAGCAAGGGAGACCAATAAACTGGGACAGATTAAGGGTATGTTGCTCCGGGATTGGTTGGTGCTAAGGGCGGTCTAGAATTGCAGGCTCTCTGGTCCAGAAGACTGCAACAATTTAGGGCCCCTATCCTGATCTTTCAAGAACCAGGTCCTATTCTTCTCATTCTATTGCAACTAGCATTTTTGTTTCCTCCTGCAACGGAGGTTATTTTCAGTCACTCAGCCCACTTGAACAAATAGGTCCTGCGGGTAAGTTTGCACAGGGATAGTACTGGGTTTTCCTGCTTAGGCCAGTTCTAGCCAGTTTCTTTAACATTTCATGACTTTATTTGAGATAGAATCATTTGAAATTATAAGTCAGGTTTCTTCTGCCCTAGCATTCCTCCTCCAATTTTAAGCAGGTAGCTAGGCACTTTAGAATTGCTTGCCTTTGAGATTTTGCAGGGTGGAAAGTGAAGCAGCTTCAAGTCAAAGCCTCCTTTGCTATTTGTTGCTGAGAAGTTAGAAAGAGAGAAAAGCTCAAGAAATATAGTGAAGAAATAGATGCATCTTACATGAAAGAGAGAGTAAGAGTAGCAGAGATCCAGCCAGTAGGTGGTGTGGAGGTTAGGTGCTGGTTCCCACATGGCCAACTCCATGGTTTGAGTCCCAGACCCGGCAGCTTGAAAATCACACCAGATGTGTGTGCATGGGTGCCCAAAATCTCTAGGGGAGAATGGAGAAGGGATTACGGTGTAGTTATTTCCACTGGAGATGATTTCTGACTATACCTCCCTACCCCCATCTCTCTCTGGTGAGCACATATACCCTATAGCAAAAAACTAACAACCAAACAAATGAATGAGTAGCACAGGCAGAAGAGAGAAGCTCCCAGCCCAGCAAGGGGGATAATGTTATATATGTGATTTTTATAATTAATTTATAATTTAAAGCAACACTAAAGAAATGCATTTTGGGAAAACATTTGATAACAAAAAAAAGTATAAACAATATAGCGTAAAGAAGATCATAAACCATATTTTTGTAAAAATGATATAAAGTATAGGCATGTGTGTACACAGGTGTATTGTATAATGAGATACAGGGGGATCAAGAGAACATACATAAAAATACCTCAAAAGTGGTTATTCCTGCTAAAAATTGCAGTAGAGCTTCTGTGGGTCTTGGGCACTGTTGCCTTTCTGAGATCCTTCCTCTATAAAAAATGTGGTAAATTATCTTTTATCATTGCATTAGTATAAAAATAAATATAATCCAGGCTAGATTCATTACTATATGTTTGTTGTTATCACATTCATATTTTCCACTGATTTTAAGAGAAATTAAAACGCAAACATTTGGTGGGTCTTAGACACCATGCTTCCTGTCCCTGTTGAATAAATTTTTTAAGACAAGGTGTTCTCAGTCACAATCACCTTGCCTAGGCTCCCAAGTAACTGAGACTACGGCATGGCCTCCCAGCTTTTAGGGTGGGCCAGGAATTGAACCTGGGCCTCTCCTGTGTTCTTACCTATGAAGCAGAAGTGTCTTTACCAGCGTGTCACCATGGCTGGGCCTGGTCATGATTTCGGAGTGCTGGGTTTACTTGTTTTTTAGTATTCTTTTTTCTTTTGATTATCTGCATTTTCTAGATTTTCAATACCTGACATTTATTTTTTGTTATAAAGAAAAGCTATTTGGAAAATAAATTGATAAACATAAACGAATGCCCATTTTATGCTATGACAGCACACGAAAGTGAGACCCAGTGCAGCTCTGGGGTCAATACACACTGGATACCTGGACACAGCTTGGCATCCACAGCACTGCTGGTCCAACCCATCAGTGCTAGACCCAACCAACAGGACACTAACCCTGGTTTTCAGAATAAAGTCACTCCCTGGCTTATAAGTGAGAATGGTCCTCTTCATAAAAAGATCACTTCACCAGCCCACACTGGCAGATACGCACCAGGACCTCAGTCCTTCCCACACGCTCATCCAGTAGGGTCCAGACTTCAGAACCGTACAAACACAAAATGGGCAAGGGCAGGAGCACCACACTGCAATGTTACCCGTGAGCAAGAGGCACATGCAGCTGGAAAGCTGAAGGTCCTAAAATGAACCCCCTACCCCACTGGAGGGAGGATGCTGGCTGCCACAGAACAATCACAACAGTGCCAATTTTAATAATGGACCAGTGGGACTGCTGAATGGGTTGACCAATCGGAGATATACAAATTTTAACTCTTTATTTGCAACCAAGGACCTGGTCTAAAGTTTGGGTGGAAGAATTTCTCTATAAAAGTCCATCCCTGCATTTGCAATGATGGTCTTCTGAACTAGCTGGCTGTAGTAATGCCTCCTTCCTTGAAATAAAGCCTGCTTCCTTGAAGCAACACTTTCCTCCTAGACAAACCTCCTGAGTAAGTTTGGCTTTTCTGGATTTTAGCTACCATTTCTGGCCTATACCTACTTTGGTTCAATAACACCAAAGTACCATACATTTTTAATAAGTCTCTCTGCTTCTGGTGTACATCAAACAATTTTCTTTCTCCTCTTCTTTCTTTCTTTTTTTTTTTTTTCTTTTGGAGAGGTTTTCGCTATAGGGCGCATGCGCTCGCCAGACAGGCAGAGAGAGAGACATAGAGACAGAAAGCGAGAAATCACCTCCCAGGGGGGATGGTCACGCCGCAATCCCTTCTCCTCCATTCTCCTCTCGGGATCTTGGGCACGCACGCACATGCACCCGGCGTGAGTTCTAAGCTACCGGGTCCAGGACGCGAACCGCAGTCGACTACGTGGGAGTCCAGCGACATAGCCATTACACCAACTGCTGGTTCCCTCTTTCTCCTCTTCAAGAGTGTCTTTACTCTTCTTGGCCCTTAGAATTTCCATGTGTTTTAGAAATCTGCTTGTCAATGTCAAAAATAAAATCTGCTAATATTTTGCGATGATTGAATTGGATCTAAAGAGTAATTTGTGTTCTTGAATCTTCCACTTTGTTTAGCCTTCAATTTATTTAGGTTTTAATTTTTTTTTAGGTATTTTTTTGTCTGTCTTTTTGTTGCCATAGGGTGTGTACACTCACCAGAGAGAGACAGAAAGAGAGGGAAAGTGAGAAATCAATCCCAGGGGGGATGGCTATGCAGCAATCTCTTCTCCACTCTCCTCTCAGGATTCTGGGCACACACGCATACGTGCCTGGTGTGATTTTTCAAGCTGCCTGGTCCAGGAGGAGTCCAGCAGCTTAAACACCACGCTGCTTGCCAAACTCAAAATTTTAATCCCTTTAATAATGATATACTGTTTTCAATGAGGAGACCTTACACATGTTTTATTGGAGTTATTCCTAAACATGATTAAGGCTATTTTAGTAGACAAATATTAAATATATTAATTGAATGAGGTAATGTCAGAGGAAAAGACTTTGCAAAATGTGAAACTTTGTACAAATGTGATATTCTTTCTCACCAACACCCACTAAACACGTCATTTTGTAATGTTAGTCTACATACCCCTAAGGCAGCCTTCCCAATAGCTGTTGACTAACCAAATGCAAGGCGGTAAAGCCAGCACAGCCAAAAAGTGATGGCAGAGGCAACAAAGAGAATTATGGGCCTAGAATAAACTCAAGAAAAAAAAAAAAAAAAATGAGTTCTCAGTCTGAGCCTCAGTTTTACCCAATAGCCACTAGATGGCTTCAGAGGGAAATTTTTCAAAAGTGCATCATTCAATCAAAGACCCAGGGCCTTGAAATTCTTGACTCAGGTCTCATTCATTCCATCTATGAGCTCCTGAAACTGCCACAAAAATTCTCCGACACCTGGCCCAGCCCTCAGTGGCGGCTGAGGTTCCACTGAGCTTCGGTGCCTTCTCTTACCTTCACAGGGATCCCAACTGCAGAACAGACTAAGATGAGAACAAGCTTCTCCCTGGGAACAACCCATGGACATAGGACACTCTGGTTTTCAGCTGCCTCTGAGTCTGAGCTGGTGACTCACATCCCTTTCACTAAGCCCAGCTTCACTGGCACCGTCTGCACCAGCCAACTCCTGCCTGGCACAGACACTGCCAGGTTCTCCTCTCCTTCCTCTCTCCACTACTCTGGAGGAGAAAAAGGCCAAGGATGAAGTTCTCTGAACATTAAGATTGCTTGTAAGAAAAAAAGAAGACGTTGCTATTATTTATCCCTGTATCGTCCCATCCCAGTTTCTTGGATCATTTTTGGATCAATGTACCAATAACTCTAGGGGTGGGACCCAGCAGTCTGTTTTAACAAGTCCTCCCAATGCTCTGAGGATTATCTGATCACAGTGGTGTACACTACGGTCTTTCTATTGACTATGCTATTTTTATTTTTTTTTTAGAATTATTTAATTTTATTTATCATCATTATTATTCATTTTTTAAATTGCTACAGGGCACATGCACTCACCAGAGAGAGACAGAGAGAGAGGGAAAGCAAGAAAGCAAGCTGCCAGGTCCAGGACTTAAACCATGGTTGACCATGTGGGAGTCCAGCGCCTTAACCACCATGCCACCTCCTGGCCGACTATGCTATTTTTAAT